ACCATTTATATATAAATTTTTTCAACATTGTTGTTGTTTCTTGTTCTGTTCATTATGATAACTGATTGAAAACTAGAGTGAAATAAATTTTTTTCTCCACACAAAATTAATCATTACAGTTAATTCTGATTACATATTATTCTACAGCTGGTCACAACAACCATACATGCTCTTCAAATTACTCCATCGTCCGTGCAGCCAGTTTACCCTTACAGAGGTGTTCTAAAAAAAGAGCTGTGACTCCTGGAAATGGCGATCCAGGTACAGAAAAAGGCTAATGTCTGGCCCATCACCACATCAGTCCTTTCACAAAACATATGGAGATGGAAGAAAGCCGTAATCCTGCCTTTAAGTATTTAGAAAAGACGGCTGTAAAAAGCAAGCTATAACAAAACACTCTTGGTGAGTTGTCTACTGTAAAGCATGGTGTGGATTTCGTGATGCTTTGGGTCTGACTGTTAATAAAAGACAATTTGAACCGCATAAGGGAATATGGCATCATAAATATTTGAAACACCAGGGTTTTTTTAATAGAAGTCAGGCTGTCTCTACCAGAAAACTGAAAAGGTTGATCTTTGAAAACTTTAATAACTCAGAGGTGTGGCCAAATTTACATAGAAGTTATTCACAGGCAGCAAAATTCACTTTCTCACAGAATCAGTTACTAGAACTTATCCCATTGGAAAACATGCATCCATATGAAATCACTTAGTTTTGTTATTGTCCAGCCCCTATTAATGAAAAGGGACTTGACAAACTTACAGTACCGATGCCAGTAAATGTTAAAGACTAAATACATATTTTTACATTAAAAGCAACCTTATTTATTTTCTAACAAAATGTTGCATTGCAGAAAAAAACTAGTGCAGAATTTATCTTTGCTTTGGTCATTTGAAAGTGTACCCCTCCAGTGAGCATGTAATTAATCATCTTTACAGTTTAGTTTAATACATTGCATTTCACCACATTGTTTCCCAAACTACAATAGGTGAACATGTTAAATAATCCCAGGGCAGAATCATCAATAATTAATTAATGATAAAGCTTTAAATTATACAGAAAATATATTGTTCTTTTATAACACATTGCAACTACAATTAAACTACTGCATTTAAAACTACACTACACTTTTTTTTTCTTTTCAGTCTAAAAATAATTTCTTCTTAATTTTTTTGCTATTATTTTGTAATATTTAAAGCAACAGTAATAACTCATGGATCTGTTATGATTTTTTTTATTTATTCATGTTTAACTGCTAGAAGTATACAACTGCTTGGCTTTGGTCTAATTTTAAGCATTTACTGGAGTAGATTATTCAATTTTGAACTATGTTTCTTGCAGCTAAACAAAACTCATTTAAATTATAAGAGAGTGTGAAGTAATCTCTGTACCTTTAGTATGCCTCGGAGCTTTTTAATAATTTCAGAATTTGTTTCTTTCATCTCTCAGAGGTGAAGGTTATTCAGCCAAATAACCTTCAGCTCTAATTCTCTTACAGCGCCTCAGCTGCTGTTGCAGCAACTTCCTGTTCATGTCTTTCTGCCAACTCTCTTATCTTTTCTGGCTCTCTCAGGGCAAAACGGCCCTCTCATTACACTCCAGACAGCAATTTCTTTTTTGCCTAAATTTCAGTCCAGTAGTACTCTAAAAACCCTTCAGTCGTTCAATGCAGCTTGAGATGAAATGTCTTTTTTTTTCTCATATATATATATATATATATATATATATATATATATATATAGTCTAAAACTCTAAAATAATATATATATATATATATATATATATATTTACACTTGTAATTTTTTTTTAAAGCTGAGCAGTTAAAAATAGGACTTCAGAGAGGGTAAAGGCTATGTGGTTCAAGAAAAGCTCCAGGTTTGAAGCCTGTGAGAGTAGGTGGAGGTCTCACCTCAGAGAGCTGATCTCTGTACAGAGACTTGTTGCACTGCAGCAGCTGAACAGCCAAGCTACAGTCTTTTCTGTACAGCTCCTGTGGAGGAAGCACATGTACAAAACCAAAAAGAGATAACAGACAGAAGTGAATGTGATGAAGACTTACTTCTGTCCTTCTAAAACTTGCAATGTTTGCTTAAAAATCTAAATACATTAGCTGAAATAATTTCCCATTACTTGCAGCTTACAGTAATGTGCTCTTAACTAAGAAAAAACAAAAAAACAAAACGCTAAACATGCCAAATAATAATAATAATAATAATAAAAAAAAAAGAATTCAATTAATCTGATCAGTTACTTTGATACATTGTAATGAGAAGGATCGTAATAATATAAACTTAGCTAAAGTTAGGTTTTCTAAGCATTTCTATTATACACAGAACCTTCAAATCCATCTAAAATCCCACAGATGTAAGGTACATCTTGCTCTCTTTTTGTGTACTCCTCTTGTATCTGACTAAATAATGACAAAAACATTTTGCATCTCAAGAACAAAAAAAAAGAAAGAAGAGGGTCTGTTTTGGTTCAAATAATACTAATCGGTGAATTCTAAAGGTATTTTAGAGTTTTAGACTATTGTTTATTGTTTAAAGACTTTTTTGTAGATGGTAGATTTAATGTTTTAATTATTGAATAACCTGATATTATAGTTTTCCTTTTGGTAAAGCCTAATTGGCAAAATGCTAGTTTTGCTGCTCATATACAATTTCCATCTAGTTTGCTCACACATAAAAAAAAAATTGCTATTGCCGACTCTTAAAATGTCTGCACAGGAGGCTAAATATCTGCAGAAAATAATTGGTTGCTTTTAATCTTATAAATTGTATTATTTTAAATAGAATAGAATATATGAAACAGAATTGGCCTAAGAATTTGTTTGGATTTTGCACAAAGATATTTTTTTTTATTCACCAGCACATCTCGTAAAAATGGGGAGAAAACTTTTCAATGATTTCACCTTTCATACACCAGTATAATCACAAACGCTATTTTTCCATAATCCTACTCTGAATGTGTTTAGACCCACAAAATATTTAAATCAAATTCCAACTAGGTACGATTTCTTTCCCAGCAATACATGAAATAACAGACTAAAATTCATTAACTGTATAAGTAAAACATGGGGGAAAAAAAGAATAAATTTGAATTAACATAAAAGTGTTTTCATTATTTCTCATTGTTAAGCAAGTACACTCAAGTCAAATTTCAAAGATTTCTTTAAAAAATTTTAACATTTCATTAACTCATAAATTTTGTCAAAAGTAGGCCAGATGTACAGTAAACGTGGAGAAGGCTATAGACCGTTCCCCCACTAATCAATTCTAATCATTCGACCGTTTTACAGATCTTTTATCACAGCAACAATCACATTACATCTAATGTTTCTTAAATTAACATTTTTTTTTAGTCCATAGAAAATTCAAACGGTATTCCTCAGAGTGTAGGAAAAATTGCCCAAATTTCAAAAAGGCAAAGTAGCTTGATGTAAAAACTGTATCAGAATGCAGCCTTTGGTTCTCTTCTAAAGCAAAAGAGAATCAATAACAATGTGGTTGATTCTAAAAAAAGAAAACTAAAACCAGCATAACTCACATTGTCCTCTTGCAGCTTCTCAATTGTTAGCTTCGCCTCCATCAGGTGGTTGTTAAGGACGATGATTTCTCTGCTCAGGGCTCGTTTTTCATCTTCATGGTGCTGCGACTTCACAACACAGATATATAAATGTTTTGAAACAAGCTTACAAATTTTTTAAGATTAAATCAATTTTTTCAGGCTCAGAAAAAACTTCATCATGTACATTTGGAGGAACAAAAATGTCTTTACTTCTATCTTGATTGCAGCACAGGGACTGGCAGTGTAGATGTTGCTTTCTAATGAGGACATATGTGACTGCATGAAGGTGCCTCGGGCAAAAATGCTATAGCAGCAAGCAAGCCACCAATATGCTGACAGTGTAACACTTTTTAAGACACACGTTATTTAGATAGACAGCCTGGGAGGACACGATCTTTCAGCCATGGTTCTAGAATTATATTTAATGGTCAAAAACAAGGAATAATCCCATCAAAACTGGATTCTAGCACCCTGTTTAGACAGAAAAAAACAAAACAAAAGAAAAAGCAGTTTAATGGGCACAGATTAAAAGATTCTTTTTTAAATTCCTGCTATTATTCCTGTATTAAATGAAGGCTAATCTATTTATATAACATAATCCACAAGTGATTTAAATAAAGACACAGAGTGGAATTCAAGAAGAAAAGCACTTTGCAACTCAACTAGCAGCAACAAATTCTACAGCTGAGTGCATTTGGCCATTAGCTGCACATTTTTCCTGGACCAAGATGTCAGTTAACTTTCTTGTCTCTGAGGAAATAATCTTTTGAATTTTGCATTTTGTAACCCTCTGAGGTCATTGACTAAAATAAACTCCCATTATGCCCATCTTGTCATCTTGCCGCTCACACAAGTGCTCTAAAAATGTTAAAACACTTCAAAAAGTTCCACATTGAAACAAATTAGAACTACAAATTAAAATGTTCTTTTTTTGGAATTAAATCTAATATCTAAACATCATGCAGAACACAAAGTTGTGCATGACTGTTAAGAAAGAAAAACACACCATGGTTGGTTTTACAAATATTTTACAAGTAGGAAAGGTAAGAACTGCAGGGTTGGATTTATGTTGAGCCCCTTTTTCAAAATAAACACTGTTAGATTGTTATGCTAAACAAAAAATGGTGCAAGAAATTGTCTTCAGAAGTCCCTTATTGACTAGGCGATATTAACTTTATGTAATTTAAGCTCATTACAAATATTGCTGTTCTGTCTTGAAATAAGACAGGAGGATAAAAAAAACAAAAACAAATAAAACATTTATCTTGGGAACTGATGAAAAATTTCAAAATTAATCTTAATCCTTGAAAGAGGAACTTACAATATTTACTGAAGTGAAATATAAATCTAAGTACTTCCAGGCATTAATTAAAAATGAGGGGAATATCTTAACAACCCAACTTGCTGCCTTGTGAACACCTGGTGTTTTTTTCCCCCACATCTGTATTCATGTAAATTTAAAGTGATTAGTCAGGTTTACAGCACTGACGAAAAATGAGGCACAAAATTTAAGCTTAGTACTTTAACGCCTTTCTGTTTCAGAAACTATATTCTCAAATGAAAATAAGCAATATTTTTAAATGTATTTATAATTTTGAACACCTGTCAACTGTTTTACTTTTGTAGTCAAATATTTGATTAACTTACTGTGAAGGGCCTAAATGGGTTACTTGAAGCTTGAGAACCAAATGGTTCTAACCTGAGTTAGAAAAATAAAATTAAAAAAACTGTGTATGTGAGATATGAATTTCATTTAAACCACAGTTTGTATTTTGACAAAATAATTTTGATAGAAAGAAATTTGTAAACCAAAGATTTTCTCTAAGTTTTAGTGAAAGGAAAATAACCTAGACACTCCTGCTTATCTGTCTTGTGATTACATTCTCTGTAGTTGTGCGGGGGCCCAGGGGTCAGATAGGTGTGTGGCACCTCTGGAGTAAACAAGTTTTACGATTGCAGAGAGACTTACTCAGCACCTCTCTCTAACCCTTGAGGAGAATATACGTGGGTTGAATCCAGAAAAGCAGCCAATGAGAAAACTTTCCTTAGTATGAAACCAAAAAAACAAGGGGTTGTACCTGTTTGGCTCTCAGAGTGAGGACCATTTTTCCATTTTCACCATCAGATTGAGGACAAGTTGTTGCAAAATGAGGACATTTTGCCGGTCCTCACATGATATTTTCCTAATGGTTAGGTTTAAGGCTAAGCGGCGTCAATTGAGTTAAGGTTAGGGTGAGGTATGCATTAGTAATGGTTAGGTTTAGGGTTAGTTTTAGGGTTAGGGCATAGAAATCAATGGCAGTCAATGCGAATCAACACAAGGTCCTCACTATAATGGCAGAATGAATATTAAGTGTGGGTGTGTGTGGGGGTGGGTGTGTGTGTGTCCCTGAAGATCTCTCTTTGGCAAATGTAATGACTATTATCTTGTGGCATAACAAACGCATTCAATGAGCATTTTCAACTCTCTATTCACCATCTCCGACACCTGATGGTTACAGTCTTCTGGGGCACCCTTTTTAATTCTATCTTTCCAAGGGAAAAAGCAGCATCTGACAAATGGAGTGAGGTGCTCTCTTCTGGGAAACAATGGGTTTGCTATCCCTCTGCCAGTAGAAGGAGGACAGCCAATTGTAATAAGCCATAATTAATGTCAGTGGCACAAACAGCAGTGGGATTCATTTTCAATCTGGACGTCAAAGTGTTCTCCATGCAGCATGGCTTGCCTCTTGTGCAACTCCCTCTGCTTTGACAAGTATGAACATTTGCATAAAAGCCTCAAACCAACACATACACATGCAACTTCAGACACTTACATCTCTTTGGATCTTTTCCTCTAGATCTTGATTGATCCTCTGCAGTGCCGAGTAGCTGCTTTGTATTCTAAACAACAAGACAAAATAAAAAAATAAAAATAAAGAATCATTGCTTCCCAGTAGGTAATAGCTTGTGTACATGCTTGCTGAATCTACAAGTATAGAAGCAAGAGAGGTTTCCAAAAAGACTTATCTCCAGGCTAAACACATTGCAAGTCAAATCTAAAAGGTTGATTCCTTTTTTATTTGTCCTACTCACAGCATCTCACTAAACTGCAAAACACCTTAAGTATCTCTTAAAAAAATACTTAAAGAAACAAAACAACAACAGCTGTGTAAAACTGAATAGCTTGATATCTTGATAGCTATGATATAAATAATAAATAATATAACATATAATATCTTTGATTTACAAAAATTAGGTTGGATATTTAAGCACTTCTCTTGGAATAATTTTGAACTTTCTGGTGTGGATCTGGCTTTTATGTAAGTCCAAGAATTTAAAAAAGGTAAGAAGCTGTATAATTCAGCCAAGATTTCTTTGGTTGCACCTATATTTTTTGCAATGCTTTACTGTAGATAATGACTCTAAGATTAATTCTAGCCCTGGTATTTCATTCATTTCGTATTTGTTGTGATTCGTGGATAAGTCTTTCAATGTATTCAATAAAATCCAATAAAATTTTTCACATTCAAGCATTAATATATAAGTATTTTCCCAATCTGCTAAAATAAACATTGCAATACAGTGATGAAATCAAGCTGGTTGGCACCCATTTATTTATTTTGTAATAACTACAGATGTAACAGTATGTATTTATACTTTACTAAGCTTTATCCAACATCAATTTTGCTCAAGCAGTCATGTGAAGAACACATTCTCTACAGGAAACAACGTTTTAAATAGGCACATTGAAAAAGATGAGTAAAGTGGTAAGTACTCTCAAAAAGAACACACAAAGATTAATGATTTCACAATGAATTTAAATGCTGACTTTCAATTTGTTGTATTTTCATATTATATATATTTCATATGATCTATTTTCATATATGGTATAAATACCGGGGTTAAAGGTTGAACATTATAGAACAGTTTTGTTTGACGTATGATCTGCAGGTTTGACTTCCATTGTTTAAATCATTTGGAAATTATTTGATCTTTTAGTTAAAGTCAGAAACATATATAGATGGTTTCAATTCTTTGTAAATGTAATTGATTTATGTGAAGCATTATACCACCAATATTCATCTAAGAGTTATTTCTTGTTTTTGAGATTGATATAATCTAAAAAAAAAAAAAAACAGCTAAAATGAACATAGATTTCATGGACAGGAAGTAAAACCTCTTGATCGATAATATTAATCCAAGTGTTATGTTTTTCTCCCTACTATCCAGAGTAAGCTTAGTTTTTAAGGATGTGGTAATTTGTGCTGTGTGAGGTCACCTTCGAAGCTTATCTGTGAACTTGTCCAACTCTTCCTGTGCTCGACGCAGCTCCGTCTCCAGGTACTGCCTGGTGGAGTCAAACTCTCCCTGCAGCAGCTCCAGCTTGTGCGTCGTGTAGGAAAGTCTCTTCCGCAGGTCCTCTTTTTGCTCCAGCAATGAGCTACACACAAAAAGACAGCACATACGTTTAGAGCATATGGTGACGGAAACAAGCTGGCAACCTGAGTCTATCCTTTGCTAAATTGACTTATAAGGGTCTACATTTTCTTTTAATGTCCATGCAGCATTGATGGTGACATAAAGGGGATGAGAGAGAAGCAGAAAAACATGATCCTGAAATTGTGTCTTTTAGAATAGATGTAGAGGTTTGTAATTCTTTAGATGAGAGACCACAAGGTACCACATTGCAGAGGAGCAATCACTAGTGAGAATGGTCGAAATAGCAGAGGCGTAATGTTTAATGAGAAATGAGTCAATGAGCTCTAATAGATTATTTGTATAGACTCCGAAGGCTCAGATTTACAAAACAGCAACATTCTCAACATGTAATTTTGCAAGACAACACAATAATGACTACTTTTGGAGCATATGCATTACCTGAATTTCAATCTAATAAAAGGGCAAGTGTGAGAGGCAAAAGAAGAAATGTCTGTTGCCGTGATGGATCTGAGTGCTCACTGCTCAGCTTAATGGACCTTGTATTGACAGACAGATGGAGGAAGAAAGGTAATGACTCTATCTGCAGCCAGATGACATAGCTGGAAATGAATGGAGATGTGGTCACTTTGCTCTTTTCACTTTCTCCATTTTCCTCCATTTCTCTCTTTTTAACAAGATACAAAAGGTAGGCGATGAGCTAGACAGTACCGAAAAAAGAAAAGAGAAAACACAAAGGGGAGGGGTTTGTTCATTTATTTTTTCAGGTCAGAGGAGGCATCACCCTGTTTCCATCTCATTAGCAAGCAGGATAATGTTTCTGCAATCAATTGGATAAAAAGTGGACAGGGTCAGTCTAGACTTCATGTAGAACTTAATTTGCTTTGCCTAAATGTATCAGGTTCTCTGTTACTGCATATGTTCCTGTTTTTATCTAAGGTTTGCAAGTGGCTTTCTAAGTTTCTACTCTCATAGGAAACATTGCAGGGCGTAACTGCAGGAAAATCAAACTATATAAGCACCATAAATGTTATACAGATCTTGTTTTCACATGATAATCATGCTACAGGAAGTCACAGACTCGTATAGTTGTTGAAGTAGTGGATTTTATGGGATAATAAAGAGAGGATTTGAACATTATAAAGTTGTGCTCTCGTAAAAAAGAAGTTGTTTGTATCTTTGATTAGCCTTTCAATATTTTAATTTAAAAAGCTTGTCCCATAGGCCAAGATAATGCTTTTTTCTGAGAGTGACCAAGATGAAAGTCGAGTTTAGCCATTTTTGAACATCAGCCTCAAATTATCACTGTAAAAAAAGTTGGTAATTTCTAACCATACGTACAGAGGTAGACGTTATCTGCTACCAGTGATCTTTCTGTGAAATCATCTAAGGCTAGAGTATCTAAGGCATGGCCAGTAACACTGGGATCAATAAAGTCAATCAGTCAAATTACTCAATCAGAGTAACTATGATAGACAGACATTGCTATGGGTCTTATCTACTAAGATCCTAAATAGCACAGATTTGTAAACAAAACACGGCATATGCAATTAATGAGTTTGTTACAAATGATCCACTAAGAATGCATATGCAACTGATAACAGGTGCAAACGTAGTGTAATCTGCCTTATTTAAATCAGGATTTTGCATGTGCTGCTTGCTGTCGCCATGGAGAATATCCTATGGTGTGCTGAAATTATCCAGGCATAAGAAAATGCAGTGTTTGAAGGTGTCCATAAGGTATATGTCTTCAAAATTATTGCATATATTTGTTCATGACATTTGCTAATTTTCTCTTGCTTTTCAAATGTGCTAAATATAGATGCAAAAACAGTAGCTCCAATCCGTTTTCTGTTTAATTATTCCCATCTAGGTGCTAAATAATTACATTTGCATATTCTTATCCTAGTATTTTGCATTTTCTGATAATCTGCAGATTATTCTGCATATTCATGAAGGTAAACAAGCTAAATGAATTGCACAGTTTTACTCATTTTACAGGAATAATCCTTAGTGAACCCTGTTAGTAGATCCACTTTGCACGTTCTACCAAGTTTGCACATGTATTGTTATGAGACAGGAACTGCATGTGAGCTTTAGATGAAGTCCTACTTTAATTGTTCATCATAGCACACTTTAGATAATAACAAAAGTTTATGCAAAATGTGAACATTCAGTGCATTGTGTTAACCCAATTGCCTGTGATTGAAATTACACAAAAAATAATGATAATTTAGTCTCTGCAAAGATGTATAAATTCTCAGTTTTTATTTTGATTGGTTCTTCATATAAACATTTGTAAAAAATTTGACTTTGGATGTATTTAGAGTGAAATAATAAATGCTAACTTTTGATTTGATTAGAAATAGTGTGTGTTACATGGAAAGCTGCTGCCTTTGCAGACTTGACAATGAGTGAAATACGACCTGCATGCTGAATGATTCAGAGAAGTCTCAGCTGACTGAATGACATTTGAGAGGCACATTATCCAACAGTGCCCACCACCTCACCTCCTGCCTCGATCTGATCGGTAGGCTTTAGCTGGGGAATACAGGTGTTTGTTGTTAGGTACAGGGTGACTTTACGCGAAGAAGCTTCAGGGACGAAAAAAAAAAAAATCCCTCCATTAGTGACCTCCTCTGAGTCACACATAATGAGTGTTTTCGTTCTGGTGAGAAGAGATGACGAGGCAGCATGACTTCTGGGCCTGGAAAGGCGGGATGAGGCTGCTTTAACACCACTGAACAATCAGAGGAGACACCTCGTGGGCGGATGATCGGACAAACACATAAAAACAAGTACGGATGGAGAGATGGCTTGACATATTTACTCTTACCTCTTTTTTGGGTGTTTGCCGCCATTTCGGGGGACTTTTAAGGCAGTTTTGCCAATGTATATCTTTTTCATGGTTTGTCTCTGTTCCTTCCCTCTCATGTGTTTATTGGGCCTGGCCACAGGAAGTTGACATGTATGTGACTTATCCAAGAGAGCTCAGCTAAGTGTGGCCTGCAGAATTATTGTTTGTTATATCTGTGTTGATCCTGTCGACAAAACAAAACAGACAGGTTGGCAGCTGTTAGTAACTACCAATAAGGTGGGATCCAATTTGAAAAGAAACTGTTGCAATGATACTGCCAACATTTTGTCATCATAATCATGTTCACAGTCTTTGAAACAGAAAGAAAATATGAAAGGAGAGAAAAAAACTTTGGCTGCAGAATATTTTAGATATCGGTGTAACATTATTTTTGGCATTATTTTTTAATTTTAGGCTCACCTGATGAAGGTGTTAAAAAAGCCCTTAAATGCATATTTGCTGCTTAGTTTGATAACACTGAACTGCTCAATTTTCCCCTTTACTTTGCGTATTGACTTGACTTTAATAAAGCATCACAGGTCCTCAGCCTTTCTCAGCAGGGATTTTTTCCATTTAGCTATTTCCCTCTTTTGCAACAGAACCACTTCTTAACCAATTATGTGACTCTTGAAAGGTCAATTTAAGCGCAAGATGTTTAAAAATATGTCCTTAAATTTCTATAAAACAATTCACATGACATATTTTTAGTTTAAGATAGAAAATGTTATGAGTGTAGTTTTTAGGATCTGGATATAGGCAGGTGTTGAGTTGCAAATAGATGCTTTAAACAAATATAGAGCAGCTCAAAACTTAAAGAAACAGGGTAAAAAATACCTTGAAAAATAATCTGAAATAATGGTGTCCCCAAGTTCTCTAGTATACCTAGAATGTTTACTTGGATGCTTCCCAGGTGAGTTGACAGAATTAATGGGATTTTGGTGTCACATTCTCATCTCCTGCAAAGTTTTCAGGGAACTAGTTTCTTGAGGGGTTTCTTTCTAAATGGAAATATGCAGGATCTGAATATTAATTTTTGACCCAGTTGCAGCCTAAAAATCATGTATCAGATCTGTGTAAATCAGCACACTTTTATCAAATTCCACTTTACAATTGAGAGATTTACATAAAAATGGCCTAAGCTTCACAAACTTTACAAATTCCTTCCTATAAACTATAAACCTCTCCTTAAATTATCACTTTAATGTTTTTCAGTAGTATGCAAAAAATTATCATACCCTGTACATCATGACAATATTGAAAAGTTGCAGCAAAAAAGGCAAAACCTTGGATGGAACATGCAGAGTTATAAAAGTGAATATATATATATATATATACACTTTGTGCTCTCTTTTAGTTTTTCCCATTAGCTTCTTGGCTGTTACACTGATTAATATCATTCTTGCCAGCCTGTCAGCACAAGTGGAAAGCAATGTCTTTGTAGGTGCTACAATCTTTCAATCATCCAACTATGAATTATTACCTAACTTGGAAGTTTAAGGGCAATGAGTACTTTTGTAAGGCATCATACTTCAAACTAAAAGGAAACAACTTGAGAAACAGTAAAGCTCAACAGCGCCAATAGATATGAACTATCTGTATAAATATTTCCTTTGGCCTTTCTGCCATCTGCGTCCACAGCACAGGTGCAGCTCTTTATTGCACATACAAGTGGAATAGGTTATTAGACGAGACAGCTGTCAAAGCTTGATCAAAGCTCCTCTGATCTTAGCACCGGACTGACCACTCAGGAGGGAAATCTGTCCCACACAGACAGACTGTGTGGGACGTGACTGCAGCGGGTTACAGTTCACAAAAGCACCTTGCTTTTGGGCTATTCGATTACCCTCCACTTACAGAAACCAGTTCCCATAGAGAAACATGTTGATTCATCAACATCCAGTTGTTGAGAAGTGATTTATGGTGCAGGCTGAGGGAGCAGAGACATGTACTTTTCCAGATGGTGACAGCTCACCACTGCTGTTGCTGGAGCCTTCAATCCAGCTGCTCCCCTCTGACTCATAGCACAGTGGCTCTCATTATGTGTGGAAGAGAGATTTGGCAGGTGCAAGATGCCAGAGAAGTGTAAAAATGCATACATATTTACTTTGCATTTTACTGTGTATAGATTTGTAGATTCAGATGTCTGTAGAAACCATACATGTTGTGGATATGTCAACATGCGTCTACTAAAGCAATCATAATATGCCACAGAATAAAAAAAGTGGCATCTGTTAGTGCCACATATCTCTGACCAGGCCAGGTGTCGTCTACAAATCCAAACACAACCCTATTTCACTTGCTTTCTTTTTCTTTCATTTGAGCTGATCCCTCACTGCAGTAAAAACCTTAGAAGGGGCTTGTTGCCACCCACTCGTACCATGCTGACATTTGAGAGGAACTCAGAGCACTGAAGAGGAGGAAGAGAGAGGTGGAAGCGGAGGAGGAGGACATAAAGTTATGGAATGAGGCAGAAGGGAAAGCAGGAAGCTTCTGGGGGGGGAATGAAAGCTGGAGTATTTACAGTTTAGTCAAAGACAGTAGGGAGGAAACGAGCTCTGCCAAATTAGAAAGTAAAATCAAGGGAGTGGGTGTGTATTCATCACTTAAATTGTCAATTTTTCTCCCTCCTTCCTCGATATTCAGTCTGTTGCGGGCTTCCTGATCGCCTCAACCTTGCAGATAGATTGCCTTTTAGGAAAAGCCCTTTTTATTTTTAAAGAAACAGCCAACTTCAGTAGAAGAGAGGGGGAGAACCCATTTGGCTGAGTCATCCAGCAGCAGGGGAACGGGGTGAAAAAAGATGCTCTTTCCTCCCTGCATGCCCTTAGATTTACAAGGTACCAAAGCTATGCATAGTATGACTCAACCACCTCATAGAAGAAACTCAAATTAGAGTGAATACGCGTGGGTTTATGTATTTGTCATTTCCCCTGTCCAGGATTGATTAACTCAGGAGTAGGCACCTAAGTAGTTATACACCAGCAAGCAACACCATTAGCAACAGCAGGGTGTAATGACCTGCTGAACAGATTCAATGTCCCACTGATGGCAGTGTGCAGAGAGGAGTGTGCCATCACGACATCTTGAGAGGAAATTTAGGATGAACTTAAGATGCCACCGTGTGCTAAATGCCATCATAAATTTAAGGTGACGTAAAAATTTTTTTTACAATCTTTCCTGAAGTTTTCCACATTTTTTCATGATTAAATTTCAAAATATACCTGATTTCTTTGTGAATTTAAAATAGACAGAATGGCAATAACTTGCATTAAACCCACCGGAGTCAATAGTTTTGTAGAACCACCTTTAATATTTATTTATAATATTTTGTATGAAAAAAAGTCAAGTTTGATAAGTCTGGATCTTTAAATGGCCCTTTTAGAAGCTTGATGACAGATCCACAATTTTTGGACACTGGGATTCAGATCTGGATTTCAGCAGGACCATTTAAAATACTTTGACCTGATGATTTTTAAAAAAAGAATGTAAATCCCTTTATTGTCCCACAATTCATTCTCTGCGTTTTGACCCATCCCCTTGGGGAGCAGTGGGCAGCCATTTTGTGGTGCCCAGGGAGCAATCAGGGTTTAAGGATTTAAGGAGGCTGTGGGGATTGAACCGGGTACTTGCAACCTTCTCAGAGCACAAGCAAACTGCTTTAACCACTAGGCAAACACTCCCCCTACAATCCACTGGTGCTCTGGATATTTTTATGAGCGGTGATCACTACAAGTGCGAAGTTATTTCATCCATTTCCCATCGACCAGGCTATCTGGGGACATCTGATGAAAAGCATCCACAGTATAAACCTATCAGCACTATGTTCCACAATGGTGATGCTCAGTATAATGTGCAGTGTAAAGTTTTTTTTTACCATCACTGAGAAAAAGGAAAAAAGTGAAGTTTCAGTTTTGTTTTGATCAGAGCAGCTTCTCCTGCATTTTAATTATTTTCCTTGCTGGGCTTCGAGAAATTTGTTAAGGCTACTTTCCGATTGCTTTCTTCCAACAATTACTTTTTCATCCCATACGCAGATTTAAGGTGTTGATGACTTATAGTTAGAAATATTGTTCCAAAGGAACTGCAGCTTTCTGAAGCTCCGACAGAATTATTATTAGGTCCCTTTGTTGCCTCCCTGATTGATGTATTTCTTGCCCAGCCTATAAGTTTAGATAAACAACAGCGTCATGGCAGGTTTAAAGTTGATAATGAATTAAGAAGAGGTCTGTAAAACATTTCAAGCTGACAATTTAATTTAATAAACTAACCCCGTCTTTTATGTCTCCATAACTTTATCCAAAACCTGCCTGCTCCTTGGTCTTTATGAGGCTGTTTGATCTATGATTTTCTCTAACGAACCTCTGTGGCCTTTATTGAGCAGCTTTAGTTTACTGAAAAAATTAAATACAAACTGTCCTTATGTAACTTCTGAAGGCAATTGATTGCAATGCATTTTACCTATGGTAATAGAGTGACAGAAGCTCAGTACATGGATGCCACACTAACAAGTTTTTATTTTTTTACAATAGAAGCTATTATGACATTTCTCCCATTTACAAATAGTGGCTGCACTATGTCAGTCATGTTAAAATACGTAAAAAAAAATTTGAAAACAGCAATGTGTTTCTTGTTTCTGTAAAAATCTCAACTAAAACTAACAGGAAATTTTGTTAAATAAAAAAATACTACTCTGAATATGTTTTTGACTTATTAGGCACACAAGCTGTGGAGTCAAGAGAAGCCTCAAGCTATTATGCACAAACATCCATCAGAAACACACACAAGCACATGCTGTTCAAAAACAAAACTGCTTCCGCCTGAAGACAAGACACTGATGCTATAGTGCCAGTGAATCCTACAGAGAGCTGTCCCTGCAAGCCACTGAGATCTGTTCTCCCACCAACAAAGAATCCCAAAATTCAATGTCAAAACATTTATATTTCGAATCAAAGTTAGATTTAATAACTATTTTAATTAAATCTAACACACACAAGAATAGACATCCAAGTAGTTTCCACAAGAGTTTGTATCTTTGAGTTTTGTTTTGGAGGAGAAGGGGTTCAACTACTTAATTTGGTTCCATCCCCTCAAACCCCCGAAATATGACCAGTGTTTGCCATCTTTACAGTCACCGTCTGAAATAGACGGGATGGAGAGGCACACGCAGCTTTCATATGGGTTTGC